CTTGTCCGTCCAGCCTGTCCCCTCTCCGTCCCCAGCCTCGGCCCCCCGCCCCACCGCTCTCTCTGCCCTTCCTGCCTGTCCCCTGTCAGTCCTCTGCCTCGGACCCTGTCCGTCCTGCCGCTCGCCCTGCCTGTCCTCCTGCTCACTCTTTCTGTCCCGCTGCCTGACCCCTGGCAGTTCCCCTGGCCGCTCTTGCCTGCTCCCCCGGTGCGCCCTGCTTGTTCTGCCTGCTGCAGGTACCTGGGCTCACCCGCATGCCCTCCGTTTCATCCCCTCTCCTCTCTGCTCCTCATCATCTCGCCCCGGCCCTTCCCGCTCCTTCCCGTCCTCCCTGCCTGTGCCCCTGTGCCCGGGCTTCTCCCCGAGGTTGTGCCCTGCAATTCCCGTCACTGCATCCCTCCATCCTTCTGCAGCCTCCATGACCCTGGCTTCGTCCCGGTGGTCCTTCCAGCTGCACCATGGCTTGTCTCTGTCCCTGTGTGTCCCACTGTCCCTCCTCTGCCTGTCCCACTCCATCTCTCGCATCCCTCACCTCGTCTGTCTGCCCTGCACATTCATCTGGTTCACTATGTGCATCTGTTTGTTGAGGCTTGTGTTTGTCTGTCCTCCCTTCCCGTTCATTTCCCATTTATTTAGCTTTTATTCATAGTGCTGGCCTTGTCTGTTTGTCCACTGCATGCAGCCTCCTACCAAGTGTGTCTGTCTCCTCTCTGTCCGTCAGTCTGTGTACTAACTGTGCCATCCCTCCCCTTGGTACCAGCCATCTCAATCCTGTCCAGCCATTGCAGTTCTGTGTCACTGAATCCCTTCAGCATAGCTTTCCAGCAGTTTGTCCAGGCAACCGCTGTGCCTGTGAACTTTGCACATCTGGCTGTAACACCATCACTCTGCAAATTAGCTTTCTCCTGTCTATCTGCCCATCTCTCCTTTCCTTCATCGCTCTATTGCTCAGTTCGTTTTTCTCTCTATCTGCCTGTGGCATCTATATATCATTTGTCCACAAAATAAATCTCTTTCTATCCTGTATACTGCCCACTCATCTTCTTTATCTACCCTCCTACTTACCAAAGGCATATACATTTACAGTATCTATGGGATCTGTTGCATTATACATATGCTTGTTATATTCACATACAAAATTTATGGGCACACACAATCTCACACAACACAAGTGATGTGGATCGGTGCAGTATTACCGTACTGTTCTTTTTCTGTCACTGTCACCACAGTTTATAAAGAAGTTGTGTATTTACTAACATGCAAAAGGCTTTCTTAGGGTACATTTTTGGGTTTATTGTCTTTTTAATAGGCTGTCTTTGGGAGAGCTGGGGTGGGCTTGTAGTTCCATTTGGTATCCAATTAATCGCTGGCTTTTTGTAATACTTCCAAAATTGACTTTATGTACAACGTAGACAAACACAGTGAAAATTTCTCTCTCTGAAATATTACAAGGTACCAAATGGCCCCTGGAGGCATGTTTGAAAAGCATCTAGGGTGACAAATGAAGATGCCGGCTACGCAAAAAATCCCATTCAGAGATTGACAATAATACTAAAGATTCTTAGAAAAAGAAAGGAAAAAAAAAAGGTACATTTGGCTCTGTACTGAAAGAAGCAAAACAGATAAGGACTTATGAGAAAAAGCATTTTCAGCAACAACTTTAAATAGCGATTGGGAGGCTTTGATTCAAGGACCAGAATTACAGCCTCCGCCGTGAAGGCCAGCTTGCACATTTATCACCTACACCAAATTTAGTTAGGACTTATAGCACAAAATTGCAGGAGCGTCACTGGTATTTCTGAAACCTTTCATGCAGCAGGCTCTTTTGTTTACAAATAAGGGGTTATGTCAGACATTTAGTGACATTTGGTTTTCCGTGACAATTTTGCTCCTTTAATTCTGCTGTTATTGAAAAGCTTATTGAGAACAGTCAGTAACGGCATTACAGTGGGAGCAACCACTTCATTGCCTCACCTTGTATGGGAGTTTATAATTTTTTGGGAAAAAAGCAGAGATCGAAACAATAATTGCAGAAATTCTACCAGACTAAATGGGGGTTAGCTTGATCTGTTGGACAAACAGGCACGTTACTGAAATATTTTCCCCTCCATCTCGTGAGTCCCCTCTGTTAAACCGCAATGAGAATATGTGAAAATCAAATCAAAATCCTTCTTTTGTCATTGACGTTTCAGTGGTTACTGAGAGGGCTCTCCCTTGAGAACTGGTGGGTAGCTGAAAGTTAAAACTGTTCTTAAACCTACATGATAGCAGAGTCCGAGTGCCGGTCTTTTCAAGGTGCTACTGTAGCGTCTTTAAAGCTAGCTGGCTGGCAATACCCGATTCTGGAGAGCTCTTACTGGTGTCTGTGCATCTGACACATCTGACTACAGCCCGATGATGAACGTGACTGTGGGAAGTCCCTTTTCAATTCATTTTGATTGCAAATTGGAGATAGCTGATTCGGTGCATGCGTTCGGGCTAGTGTAGCCCTGTTGCTGCTCTCTCGATCCGCTGTGCTGTAGCATTGTCCCTGAATCCAGGATGGCACACGAGCTAACATTTCCTTTTTGACTTAATCTTGCTGATCTCTCCTTATCTTGCAGACGATCTGGCCTCATCTAGAGTCCGCCTGTATTTCTTCATCTCGAATGAAGGGAACCAGAACTTGTTTGTCGTTCAAGCCAGCCTGTGGCTTTACTTGAAGCTGCTTCCATATGTCTTAGAGAAAGGCAGCAGGCGAAAAGTAAGAGTCAAAGTCTATTTCCAAGACCCGGACACTAGCAACAAGTGGAATGTGGTTGAAAAGAAAGTTGATCTCAAAAGAAGTGGTTGGCACACTTTTCCCATGACAGAGGCAATCCAGGCTCTGTTTGAGAGAGGAGAAAGGAGACTGAACTTGGATGTTCAATGTGAGGGCTGTGAAGAGTATTCAGTGCTGCCAATTTATGTGGACCCTGGGGAGGAATCCCACCGGCCTTTTTTAGTGGTGCAAGCCCGCCTCGCCGATAACAAACACAGGATCCGGAAAAGAGGCCTGGAGTGCGATGGCAGGACCAATCTATGTTGCAGGCAACAGTTTTACATTGACTTTAGACTCATTGGGTGGAATGACTGGATCATAGCACCATCAGGTTACTATGGGAATTACTGTGAAGGGAGCTGCCCGGCCTACTTGGCCGGTGTCCCGGGGTCGGCTTCCTCCTTTCACACCGCTGTCGTGAATCAGTACCGAATGCGGGGGCTGAACCCGGGCACCGTGAACTCCTGTTGCATTCCAACCAAACTTAGCACAATGTCAATGCTGTACTTTGATGATGAATACAACATTGTGAAAAGGGACGTTCCCAATATGATTGTGGAAGAATGTGGTTGTGCTTGATTTAAGGTGTGTTTTTGGGGGGGGAGAGAGAGAGAGAGAGAAAGAGAGAGAGAGAGAAACATTCCCGTACAAGATGGTGTTAGAGGAAGTTTCACTGTGTATCCAGGCATCAGTGTTGGAAAGTCACTGTGGAAAAGTTTGACAAAAAAAAAAAAGAAAAAAAAATCATTTCACTTTGATGTCAGGACAGTGGCAGTTTGTGGATCTTGGACACTTATATATTCTACCACTTATAAGTTAATGCTATGAAATATTTTAAAGACACACACACACACACACACACACACAAAATGTGGGCACGCACACAAACACGGGCTCATACACACACGCACAGACACAGACGCACACACAAGGCAGCTCAGAAAAGGGACATGAGCACAGAAAGTCAGTGACCAGTGACGACGGACCTAAATGCCTGCCAGTACGAGTGAGCGGCTGAGCAGCTGTTTCCCCGCCTGCCGGCGACGCCAGACCGAAATGAGCTCCCTTTGCTCAGGCAAAAGCACAGACTGCGAGAACACAACGTAGTCTTGCATGCAGGTGTCGAAATGACCAAACTTAAAAAAAAAAGGGAGAAAAAAAAAGTCGACCGTCACCTCTTATGTCTAACGGGAAGCTGCAGAACACCTGCCTTGGGAGGTGATCACTTCCTCTTAATTTAAATTTTTCTAAATGTAAACATCACAGATACCCGCATCTTCCTACAGCACTTCCAGTAAGGAATCGCATGGTACCGTCAGAGAGAGGGGAAAGGGGACCGATGCATAAGCAACTGCTCTATTTCCAACATCTGACTGTTGCAAAGTCACAAGCTGGGCTGGCGTGATCCAATGCTTTAAGTGCCCCCTGGCAGCCCATGGGTGGCTGCACCCACTGTGTTTGGGAACAGGGGATCCGGTACCCTACCTGGACTGTGTTGACCGTTGGCATCTCTCGCTGTTGGGAGAACAGAAAGTCAAAGTTTCAATTCTTTAACAAGGGATTCAGCGAGGACGTGTCATGTGGGGGATGAGCAAACAAGCAACCGCCGCCACGGCTCAACCAATGAACCCTAAAGAGTGTGACAGTAACAGAGTGGAGATGTTCTGAAAAATGCGGTGCGTTTAATAACAGGCGAGGAACATTTTAATAAGTCTGGGAAAGGAGGAGAGCGCTTTCAATTTCCTTACCAGGAGGTGTCGAGGATGGCCATAAAGATCAGAAAATAATGATACAGCATAGCACTTGCAAACTGCTTGAATGCACGTATAATAGCACTTGCAAATTTCAATGCCTTGAAAAGTGGTACTTGATAGTGCACTTATCTTTGCTCACTATCTAGGTAAACAGGTGCCGCATGAGCTATGCAATTTAAAGTGTTGACCCATACTAGACAAAACTGGACTTATGATATGACTTTTTTATATTTTTTTATACTTGAAATTGAATCTTTTGCTTCTTTTTTAAAGCGAATGATTGCTTTTAATGTTTGCACTGATTTAGTTGCATGATTAGTCAAAAAAACTGCCATTTGAAAAAAATGTTATTTTTATAGCAGCAAAAAATGAATACAGTTAAATGTATTATACATAAATTTTGGAACCAAAGAGGCCAACATATTAGTTATAATTTTTATGAGATGGCAAAGCCATCATATATCATGTAGTCATACTGAGCAATCCCTCACGAGGCCTACCAATTGTTTCAGGGTACAAAATGGATTCTGTTTGTTCTATTCAGTGTCTTTTCTATACCATACGCACATGGAATGTAGAGTGAAAAAAAAAATTACTATTGTAGAATACATTACAATATGTGCATCCTTTAAATCCAATTTTTATGTTTATTTAATAAAGTTCCTTTTAGGTTCTGTTCCATAATAATTTAAACCAAACAATTTTCACTTAGATTTGCTGTTGAAGTATTTTACATTTGTGTACAGTTTAAATAAATAAAAAAGATTGAAAACTGGATCTGCTTGCCTTTTTTTTTTTTTTGCTTTTTTTTCAGTGTGTAACATCTGGAGAAACTTGCTTACTTTCGGGACTGAATGCGACTGCAGACGGCGAACTGTCGCATTAGACCATAGTCGTATTAGTCATTGCAGAAAGCCTTGTCTGAGAGCTCAGCTGCGATCCTAAAAATGTTACACTTGAGTTTTACTGCCGTCTCTGCATGTAAGCATCTGCTTCTTTCTGTCTGCATCAGTGCAGGGTCTGAGGGTGCAGGAACGGCACTGTTCCGCATACCTGCAGGTCATTTACAGCCAGTTCCTGGTTCACCTGCTGTGTAAGAATGTAACTTCTTGTCTAGGTCACTCCCTGATAGTTTACAAGAAGTAAAAAAAATACCGTGGAAAGCACTTCCAGGAAAAAGAGGTCAGTACTAAGTTTGTTTAACTTTTTTTTTTTTGCATTAGCTGGCACCAAGGAGAGGGTTTTTTGAGTAAAATACAGCTCCTTTACTAACAAAACCCCAAAATGTTGATGAATACTCATAGAAATTCTCATCACCTGTGCGTATATCCAGATATTGATTTCATTGATCTGCACAGATAAGTTCTTCCTCCTGGAGCCCTAAGCAAATGCCAGCTGAAGCTGACAGAGAAGGACCTCTGTTGGCTTAGCAAACGTTACATCTGACCCTGAGACCTGGAAAGTGTTGAAGAAGCAAGTTCATGCAGCTAATGATGGGTTCCAGTTACAATTCACAAAGTGCAGCTCAGCCAACCCCTCCCCAGAGCCAGACATGGGTTCAATGGCTTTGTTTCAGGAGACCTCTAGGAGCAATTTGCTGTGGCTGTGTCAACAACCTGCTGCACAGAACTTTGTCCCCCAGACCAAATTTTTTGAATATTTCATAGCTTTCTCACCACCTCGAAGTGCACATTTATTGTCAAAGCCACCAGTCGCTGTTCCTGCTCCATCCCTCAGCAGCCATCTCCCCTGCCTGTGTTCCCTGGGTCAACCATGCTACTGATGAGTTCAATAAATTCCCCTTGAAATCAGTGAAAAGTCATTGCTCTTCAGTCTGAAGGCATGTTTGACCTAATGTGACACCATCATTACAAATAAGGTTAGGTTGCACTTCTAAAAATGGGATTATATTAAGAAATATTGCCCATTGAAATGCAGGGCCCTGGAGGCTGGCTCCAGTTAGGTTTCGTTCTTAATTGAAAGTGTTTGATTTCTGGGGTCAAAACCAAGCCCTGTGTTGGACACAGGGACTCCTGTGGTCTCCCAGGAGGAGAGCAGGGTGTCTCAGCATGGTATTTTTGACAGCCAGGGGAGCAGGGAGCTGATGGCAGCCAGGAATGGGCTGTGCTCTGCATCCCACCACAAACCCATAGGCAAGCCCAAGATCCTGAACTTCTTCACAGAGGCTGGCAGAGAACATCCATTTTCTTAGTAAGAAGCTTTCACAGCTTTCCTCCGCTGCCTTCCCTGCTCCCCCATTTGCAGCTACCACCCTGATGTCCATGGGGCAGAAACAGAAATGCAAAGAAGAGCACAAATCAGTGTGGTGTGAGGGGCACCACCCGGGGATCATAATCCAGGTTCCCAGGTCCTTTTATTTTGTGTGAAACAATGACTGGAAATCACTCAGAACAGAAAATGCTTTGAGTTTTCTGCAGCATGGAGTCACTCACTACTCTGGACACGCTGCAGGGAGTGAGGTGTTCCCAAGTCTTGGTGCCGGCAGCAACCTGTCATACAGATTTCTAAGGCTAAAATTGAATACAATTTAAAAGGTTTTTAACTTTGTGGGACCAATCTGAGACAGTTTGGGCTTGTTTTTTTTCAGAGATGTGACAAGGCTACCTCTCTTGCCAGCTTTTTTGCAGAGGGCTGCAGAAATTCCACTACTTGCAGCTTCTACCACCTGCATTTTTGAAATCAGGCAAAATGAAAAATGAGATGGCCAAGCTTGATGGCTGCCTTTTGAAAATTTTGGGTTTTATTTTCCCACCTGTCATTCCCATCCTTATAAAACTGAGCAACCACTTCCATTGCCTTATGCCAGGTTAGGTACTGTACCTAAAAAACCCAGCGGGGTCCAGTCCATACTCCCCCCAAGGTGACTAGGTGTCTCCCTCTTGTCCCTGATAGGCTTTGAATTTGGTCCTGTAAATGCTAAATAGTTATCATCTATTATGCAGCAGAATCAATCTCTGCAGCTGGAAAACCTTCATCCTTTAAAATATTCTAACACAGGCAAAACCGCGTTCCCAGTGCCTGGACGTCCCACTGGTGTTAATGGGGTTGGTGTGAACGAGGTGACTGTCATGATGTGGTGCAACAGAGCACTTGGTGGATTAACTTTGCATACATCACATATTTCTACACATAACAGACACCTGCTCCAAAATCGCCAGCTCTTACCATCTTTGCTTGGTTACTTGTGAGCAATGAAGTCAGCAGCTGAAATTAATTGCTGCACTCACCCCGCCATGGGAGAAGAAGGAAACCCCTCACTGAATTAATCCTTCTTAAGAAACTATTTTTTTGTTTGGAGTTGTTTTGTACTGTGAAGGGTTGAAGAACATTTTTCAAAATGGATCAGAAATACTGATTTTTGTCTTAGAGCCTGTTTCTGTTAATACTGGTATCAGTCTGTGGTAACTCCACTAAAGTCTGCAGATGTAATTCAGGTTAGCACCACTGTAACTAAAGACACATCTGAATCTGGTTTTCTTGAAATCCTGATTGGGCCCAGCTCATTCTCAGTATTTCTAAGGATTTTTTTTTCTGCTTTAAAATCAGCAGCTAAAAGATTTAACAAAACACAGAGATGCTGCATGAGAGATCAGACCAAGAGAAGACACCTAATCATGAACACAGGGAGACTCTTCCTGCATGCACTAAGAGTTTAGCCAGGAATTAGCAATCTGCTTCAGTGCATAATACCCCAGTATCTTTCATTTGCTCACCCAGTCAATACGCCTGAAGCAAAACCTGGATTTACCTGGCTGCTTGTAATGTTAGGGGCCAATTTTATTTGGGTAACTTCATTGATTTCAGGGGAATTGTTTCTGATTTGTACTAGAATAAGTGGGAGCAGATTTAGGTTCTTTAATGTTCTTCCAGTTTAGCTCTTGGAATAACTTATATTTCATTATTATGTGTTTATGTAATTAGTGCAATTATATCAAATTATATAATTGGTACAATTACTTGGACTCATGTAACCACTGCATATAGCATTCCATGCTGTAAAATCTTTTACTCTGAAAAAAAAAAAAAGAAGTCAATATTACATGGGAATTTTAATTTGTTTTTAAATTCCAGTATCAAATTTAGGGCCTGACCACATGCAAGGAACTTCTGGTTCACATCAGTGGAACCTCTCTGAGCAGGCAGCTTGCAGTCTTCATCATAGATACTGGGTTTTTAATCTGATTTGGCCAATTCTATTCAACAGAGGCCCTCCTTGAATGTGTGCAGCTCTAACCAGTCTTCCTTGTACAAAGCAAAGATGTCAAGTTTTTACACACACACTGTATAACCTGAGAGATCTCTGGAACCATCAGAGACCTGAGATGTGTGTACAGCTTCCTTATACTTGATCAGATTTACCATCTC